GTATTCGTTCACATGTACGGTTCACAGTTTCATACTCTCATCCAAAAGATTCAATCAAGTAAATTCCATTTGAATTGCTAAAATAGCTTTACGTGCAATTTTCTCGGTCTAGTTTCGAGTCGCTTTTATCATTGCAAGCCAGTTTTACAACATATTTATCCCTCGAAAATGCAGCATCTCATACGGTATCCACTACTCTTTCTTCTTCATCTTCTTCATCGTCATCGTCGTCGTTGTGTTCATGTTCAAATTGCGCCTTTCACTTTTACAACGTGTAACATTGTCAATAAATGAAGCAGAAACAAATGGGAAACAGTTAAGACCATCATACAGCACAAAATGGCTCATATCGGTACCGCAACGATTGAACACATGCAAGACTCGGAGCACCGAAAAATACACACAACACCAACATAACGGCAGTAACGCCAAGCCAAAAATAATCGACAGGAATATCACTAAATTCCGAGCCAAGAATTCTAATCGAATGAAACGAATGAAACAAATTCATTTAAAATCACTGATTCAGACGAGGATATGGACCGACTACAAAACAGTGCGACAAGTTCAACCCATTTGATTTATTATAATTTTTCGTAGAACAAGCGCATTGTGGATATGCCGCACGATTTTCACTCGGGAAGACATGATTTTAAGTTTCTGTGATTTCATGCAAAAAAAAAGTGTTGAAATTAAGCTCATCTAACGCTCAATTTGTCGTATTCAAAATATATATATATATATATATGTCACTAGTGCGATGCCTTATGTATTGATAAAATATACAAAACGATCAAAAATTAATGCTCGAAATCGATTTCCAATGAGTCGCGATGCAGATTCGTCAGTTTGCCGAAAATCTATCTGTCTTCTAATTTGCATTCATATCACATTGAATGGATGAACCCCTTTTGAAATCGCGTACGGTGCTGTACATGTACAACATTTACATTCTCATTATGGCTTTATAAGTTTGATCAACTTGAATTGTGTAACATATGCAAAAAAGCATACGGCATGGGTAACGGCCTTACGGCGCATACAAGTCCATATGCAAACATCCGCATTTACATTCTCTCACACGCAGACACACACACACACACACACTCTCTCTCTCTCTCTCTCTCTCTCTCTCTCTCTCTCTCTCTCTCTCTCTCTCTGCCTGGACGAATGAAGCGATGGCAAAAATACAACACATTTGACTATGGCTAACAGTTGTGTATCTAGTGTGCCGACGACACTGTCGAATCGGCACCATTCGTAACAATGTTTGTTGGAAACATTTTGAAGAACGGCATCTAACAATGAACTGAAATTAATTGAATTTGGTTAAATAGCCACAAAAATTGACCCAATTTGCGAACTAAAATCGCTTTTTTCGGCACACACACACACTACACTACACATTCTCTATCTTTCTCTCTCAATTTATATACATCATCTACCATCATGATTACATAAAACTCTTTATTTTTGCTGATGCTCTAGGGATGCGTTGCAAAGATACTTTTTTACAGTTTGTATATTTGATAAGTTATAATAAAAGCTAACCAGGAGTATCAAATTGTTTGAAGTGTTTATTAAAAGTTTAACCACACGCTTGCATATTATATTTTGTGCCAATTCAATTTCAGTTCGTTTTTATCCCTCGTATGCTGTACACACAGCGATGAAGATTGGTATCGAGATGATGTTAGGCGCCGCAATTTTAATGGAGAAATTTAGTATAATCACATTGCTGGTTAAAGTGTTGAATGGTTTCGAAACGGAAGAGACCATAAAATTTTATTTCGTTCTTTCCACCGCATCATGAATCGATTCCATTCGATTCGTGTGATGCCATGTTATTTGAGATAATGCTTTTCAATGCAATGAACCGAAGGTATCCAAGTTTATTCAATAATATCGATTTATTCAACTATTTGCATACCTTTAGTGCAAAAGCATTTATTGCTCTCCCTAACGCAAACGCCATCTGTTCGGTGCGAACATGAACACAAACAAATTGACTCCAGCTGCCAACCGATATATGAATCGGTGGAAATGAAGGCAGTGTAAAAAAAATATGCCGAACAAAACGAACCACAG